GGGCACTCGGTCAGCACTTGCTGGGGGAATAAAGGAGGCAGAATGCGACTCTTTCAAGAGGGGAGAGAGGTTGTTTTTTCTGATACCTGCCTCTCCTACCCCCGCAGCCTGCTGTCGTCTGCCCTCCCCTAGTACTGCAAACAATGCAGTGGACACACTGCGTGCACTTTGGAGCAGTTTTGTACTCTTAATGTGTGATATTAAGTTTATGTATCTATTTTTCATTTCTTTTTAATCAGTTTTATCCTTTTTGAATTCTTTAAAATTTTGTTAGTACATTTTAGATGTACACTATGATCACACTCATCATAGGGATTTGTACCTGTACATGATATATCTTGCTTCTTTTTTTCCCATGCCCTTCCACTCCCTTCAACTCCTTTCCTTCCTTATTTACAAAAGCTGTGTTTCCATTTTTTTCTTTCTATTCTTTTTCTTGTCCCTTCTTTCCTTTTCCCCTCCCCCTCCCTTATTTCCCTTCTCATTTGAACAATTTCTTCCCATTTCCCCATATCTGTTATACATTATGGCCCTTATTTATACTTTCAGTTTCTCATATCAGAGAAACAATGCAATATTTAAATACGTATGTCCAATTTATTCACTTAAGGGTATGGTCTCAAGGTGCATCCATTTAGCTAGAAACAGCTCATGCTTATCCTTCTTTATGGCAGAGTATACTCCATTGTATAAAAAAACTACATCTTTTTTTATTAAATTTATTGGTACACTTTAAAAACTACAAGCTGGAGCATGGTGGTGCATGCCTATAATCCCAGCACTCAGAGGCTGAGGCAAGAGGATCATTGTGAATTGAAGACCAACCTGGGCTACAAAGTGAGCTCAAGGCCAGCCTGAACTGCATAGTGAGACCCTGTCTCAAAAAGACAAAAAGAAACCCTGCATCCTCTTTATCCATTCATTGGTTGATGGGCATTTGAGCTATTTTCAAGATTTAGCTATTACATACTGTCATTATAAACATGGGTGTGCATATATCACTGTGGTATGATGCTTTTAATTTTTTGAGGAAAATACCAAGAAGGGGAATAACTGGGTTCAATGAAACCTCTAGGTTTAGTTTTTTTGGGAATCTTCACACTGATTTCCACAGTGGTTGCACCAATCTACATGCCCACTAACAGTGGAAAAGGGTTCCTTTTTCTCCTCAGCCCCTCCAGCATTTGTTATTCGTTGATTTCTTCATAATAACCATTCTTTCTGGGGTGAGATGGAATCTCAGTGTTGTTTTAATTTGCATTTCTCAGATGACTAGTGATGTTGAACATTTTTTCATATATTTATTTGCCATTTCTACTTCTTCATCTGAGAAGTGACTTCATTTTAGATGTCATTTTTGGATTGGATCTTTAAATTTGGGAGGTATGATTTTTTTTTTTTTTAGTCCTTTATATATTCTAGATATTAGTCCCTTGTCTGAGGAACAGCTGGCAAACATTTTTTCCCACATTGTGGGCTGTCTCTTCACTCTGTTGGTGATTTTTTTGCTGTTCAAAAGTGTTTTAATAAGATGAGCCTGGTGTGGTGGTGGCTGCCTATGATCCTAGCATTTGGGAGGTTGAAGCAGAAAGATTGCCGTGAGTTCTGGGCCAGCCTAAACTACGTAGTGAGGCGCTGTCTCAAAAAATAACACAAAAAGATGAGATCTCAGGTGTTGATTCTTTGTGGTATTTCCTGTGCAATTGGGGTTTTCTTCATAAAGTCTGCCTAAATCAATGTCTTCAAGAGTTCTACCTATTCTGTATGCCAGCAGATTTAATGTTTCTGTTTTGATGTTTAGATCTTTAATACATTTCAATTTTAGTTTAGTGCATGGTGAAAGATATGGGTTTAGTTTTAATCTTCAGCATGTGCAAAGCCAGTTTTTCCAGCACCATTTACAAAGAGGCTATCTTTCTTCCAGTGAAGGTGTTTGGCCCCTTTGTCAAAAATAAGGTGGCTGAATGTGTTTGGAGTTGTTTCTGTGTCTTCTAGTCTGTTCCATTGATTGTTGGGTCTGTTTTTTTGCCAGTACCCTTCTATGTTTTATCACAGTAGCTTTATAGTATAATTCCAAGCCAAGGATTGTAATGTCCCCTGCCTTGCTTTTGTTGCCCAGAATTGCCTTTGCTATTATAGGTCTCTTCCAGTTCCAAATGAATTTTAGAATTGTTTTCTCTAATTATTTTGTTTGTTTGTTTGTTTCATTTTCTCTAATTCTGTGAGGTATCCTATTGGTATTTTGATAGGGATTGCATTAAATCTGTATAACTGGGGGCTGGGGAAATAGCTCAGTGGCACAAGTGCCTGCCTGGCAAGCACAAGGTCCTGAGTTCGATTCCCAGTACCTAAAAAAAAAAAAAAAAAAAAATCCAAAAATGTCTGTATAACAATTTGGAAAGTATGGCCCTTTTGAATTTTCAAGCAGTGCTTTTTATGCTGATTGATAAAAAAGTAAAACCAACCTAAGTGTTCAAGAATAGAGGACTTGGGATAGGATGGGGAGGGTAATCTTACTGCTGAACCACAGGATTATTTTAGAGTCTCTCTCCCCCACCCTACCTAACACATTACATATTCATTTCCAAATATTCATTTCCAAATAATAAGAAAATACAGAAAAGCAAAAAAAAAAAAAAAAAATTATTAGGAACCTACTCTGAATAATTCAGAGTCTTTCCATGTAGATATATCCAAATATTTTTTTTCTTTTTTTCATTTTTTTGTAGTACAGGGTGTTAAACTCAGGGCCTTCACACTGAGCTATATCCTCCACGCTTTTTAGAGACAGAGTCTTGCTAAGTTGCCTGGGCTGGGCTCAAATTTGTGATTCTCCTGCCTCGGCCTTCTAGAATGCTGGGATCGAAGGCATGTGCCACCATGCCTGGCCCAAATATTTTATTGTCTTAGAGTCTCTGTGCTATTTGGAGATCTGCTGTACTTAATCTTTGCATCTGCTTATGGATACTCAGGTTCCACCCGGTCCCCTCTCACTGGCTGTGTCTGTTGCGCTAACTGTTTCCTATTGCAACACAGCACAGGAGGAATGAGTGTGCGCCCACCGACACTTTGAGAGAGGCATTGGTTCCACTTCCTCTTCCTTCCTTCTGCTCGGCAAATCTTTCCCCAAACTGGCACACCGCCTGCCCCCTCAGTTCTCGGACATGTCACTTCCTCAGTGAGGCCCTCCTTTCCTTCTGTCGGTCTTCGCTCTCTATCCTTTTCCTGCTTCTAGCGTGTTATCTTCACCTGTGCATCAGACTGTTTCTCCTATGAGAACAGGAGGTTCAAGTGGACAGGGGCTTTGCCTTGTCGCTGATGCACAGGGCCTGGCCAGCAGCCAGCACTCGGTAAACATTGCTGAAGAAATGAAAGTATGGGTGGTGGAAGCTGATTTGGAAAAAAAAACCAGAGGACCTATAAAAAATGAACGTAGCCTGGCATGGAGGATGGGTTACACCTATAACTCAATACTGGGAGGCTGAGACAGGAGGATCACAGTGAGTTTGAGGCCAGCTTGGGCTATATAGTGAGTTCAAGGCCAGCCTGCACTACATAACAAGACCTTGTCTCAAAAAAAAAAAAAAAAAAAAAGACATAAAGACAGGAAGAATGGCAGAGGCACTCCGTAGTGTGCCCGAATGGCTAGTCCATGAAAGTACATAGGCGCATTGGTACACGGAGCAAGGAGAGCCCGGAATTAACTCTGACTAAGCCATACTACCACAGAAACCTGCTTATCACGGGCCAAACTGCAAATAAAACAGTTCGGAGAGGCGGCCCTTCCTCCCCCTCCCCTCTCACACACACCACACACACACACAGTGCGTCAAGCAGAGATTTAGAGTCTGTCCTCTACCCCCAACTCAACTTTTTAATCATCCAAGATGCTTCACCAGAGGCTGGGGGTTTAGCTCAGCGGCACAGCGCCTGCCTGGCAAGCGCAAGGTCATGAGTTTGATTCCTGGTACCAAAAAAAACTAAAAACAAAAACAAGATGCTTCTCCGTTTTCTCTTTTTTGCTTTGTGCTGTATTGTTTTAAATTTTTATCAGTACGTATTTGCAGTACATCATGACCACACACGGGTGGGGAGCTGGCCCATGTACACATCTCTAAGCCACCCCCCTACTCCATTTCTTGGTTCCCTTCCCATTCGCAAATGATCTCCCTCCTTGTTCTGTTATCTGTCCTTTGCCTCCCTGTTTTCTGACTGACTCAACATATAACCCTAGAAGCCGGGCGTGGTGGTGCACGCCTGTAATTCCAGCACTCGGGAGGCTGAGGCAGGAGGATTGTTGCGAGTTCAAGACCAGCCTGGGCTACAAAGTAGGCTCAAGGCCAGCCTGAACTGCATAGCTGGACCCTGTCTCAAAAAGACCCCCCCAAAAAAGAAATATATATATATAAAAACCCTAAGCACTGGCTGCCCCCTCCCCCATCCCTACTCCAGCCTCAGAGCGGCTTAGCAAGAGCTTGTCTCAAAATAAAGACTAAAAAAGGGCTGGAGATGCAGCTCAGTGTGAAGCCCTGGGTTCAACTCCCACTAGCAAAGGGAAAATAAAAAGGAGGGAGAGAGGAAGGGAGGAGGCCCGCAGACAAACAAAATCCCAGGCCCCGACCCAGACCTGCCAAAAGGGAGACTTGGGGGATGGGGCCCAGGATCCCCTCTTTACCTGGTCCTGAACCACAGTGACTGAGCTAGACCCTGCCACTGCCCCTCCTGCAGCTCGTCCGAGCCACTCCCTCAGGGCACTTGGCACTGGTTAGATGACTCCCTCTCCTGCGAATTTCCTGTTCAGGTTTCCCCTGCCAGGGCGCAGCTCTGGGGCATCGGTCTCATTCTCCAGCCCGTCCTGAGCTCCTGAGCGCCCAGCAGGCGTGGGGCGGGCACGAGATTCAGGCTGGTGGAGGTCTCAGGAGTGGGGAAGCGGGGCCTGCAGGCTCGGCGAAAGCTTGGTCGAGGGACAGGGCGGGGCTGACCGCTTCCTCACCCTCCAGGTACAGCCTGTACACCCGCACCTGGCTCGGGTACCTCTTCTACCGGCAGCAGCTGCGCAGGGCTCGGAATCGCTACCCCAAAGGCCACTCCAAAACCCAGCCCCGCCTCTTCAACGGTGAGCTCTGGGAGCCCCTCACACCCTCCCCGCCCACCCCGCTCCACCCCTGGGCTCCGCCCCCTCGCCCCTGCGGCCGCCCCCTCGCCCCTGCGGCCGCCCATCTCTGCCTCTGTCCCCCAGGAGTGAAGGTGCTTCCCATCCCCGTCCTCTCGGACAACTACAGCTACCTCATCATCGACACCCAGGCCCGGCTGGCTGTGGTTGTGGATCCTTCAGACCCTCGGGCTGTGCAGGTGAGTGTGTGTGTGTGGGGGGGTCACCCTTGCCACAGAAGGTAGCGGAAGGACTGACCCCGGCCTGTGCCCATGGCTTGTGCCCCCTCCAAGTGTGCCAGTGGGTTCATGTGCGCACACAGGCGCACACATGCAGACCTCTTGAACACAGTAAGGGGGAGGTATGTGCCCTGGGTACGGCAGGAAGCAGGGAAGCAAGACTGGGGGCAAAGCCAGAGGGCGGGGTGCTGGCCCGGATTGTGACTTGAGTCTGTTTCCAGGCTGCCTCTTGCCCCACACCCCACTGGACCCTCTTTCTTCCCTGAGCTCTGTCAGTTCCGGGGTCTCTGTTCTTTCCTGTGTGCCTGCGTGTGTCTCCGTGTTAATCCCACCTTTTGTCGCAGCCCTTCATTCTCCAGCTCCATCCCCTCACTCTCCCTGCTGCCCTCCATCCACACCTGCTCATCTACGCTTCTGTCTCTGCACCTGCTCCCAGCTCAGCACCTGTCTCTCCCCTCCCCCGCCCCCGCCTGCAGGCTTCCATCGAGAAGGAGGGAGTCACCTTGGTTGCCATTCTCTGCACCCACAAGCACTGGTAAGAGCCGGGGTGGGGGTGGCTGGGCAGGGAGAAGGCTGTCTTCCATGCCAAGTTGTCCTGCCAGGGGGCCGTGCCAGGACTGAGCCCAGACAGGACCACCCAAGCTGGGCATCAGGAAGTCAGGAGGGGTAGGGACCCACCTTCCACCTGAAGTCCCTGTGGCACAGCAGAAGGGGCAGGGGAAGCGCCAGTTACCTGGCTTCTGAAGCCCTGTGGAGGAAGACAGGCTGTCGTGGATCCTTGCTGTGCTTTGGGCCTGGGAAACCTTGTGATCTCTCCCATCAAGTCCACTAGGTCGGATGGCCCTGCACCAAAGGTTCTAAGTTACATTTAGGTGGCATCTGGCACAAGGTACAGGGGGTGAGGGGCATGCCAGGTGGGGGTGCCAGTGACCAAACCCCCTGGGAGAATTCAAGGATGGTGACTGAAGCTGAGTCCACAAAGATCATTCGGCATTGGCCGAGTGGAGGTTGTTGGGGTGACGGTGGTTAGCTATGGGAGTGACCTGCTGGCAGGGAACAGCTTGAACTCAGGTTGGAGGTGCTGTGGATAAGAGGGAGGGTGAGCTGCAGTTGCCCGTCACCTGTGAGAGCCCCCATCTGTCTCTGCTATGCTGCAGGGACCACAGTGGAGGGAATCGTGACCTCAGCCGGCGGCACCGCGACTGTCGGGTATACGGGAGCCCTCAGGATGGCATCCCCTACCTCACCCAGTAAGTCCCTGCCCAGGGATGGGGTGGCCTTCAGCTAAGTATTTCAGGGGCACCTCTTGGGCCTTGGGTGGGTGCAGAGATCAGCTGTTACTTCACCTGCAGCCCCCTGTGTCACCAAGATGTGGTTAGTGTGGGACGACTCCAGATCCGGGCCCTGGCCACCCCAGGCCACACGCAAGGCCATCTGGTCTACCTGTTGGATGGGGAGCCCTACAGGGGTCCCTCTTGCCTCTTCTCAGGGGACCTGCTCTTCCTCTCTGGCTGTGGTGAGTTTCCCCAAAAGAAGGGAGTGGGGAGAGGAGGGAGGGATAGAGGCCAGGGCAGCTGAGGTCCCATGATACAGGTGAAAGCACTGGTTTCAGCACAGATGTCATCTTGGCAGTCACTCCCGTCTGTGTCACCTGATTACTGTTTCTGTATCCTTAAGATTTCCCACTGAATGGACAGAAGGGCGGGTCCTGTAACTGAGCAGAGACAGGATAGGGTGGGGAGTCCTTGTTTCCTCTGGGTGGTGCCTGGTCCCACACAGTGAGTGGTAGGACTAGGTACGGAAAGCTGAGGACCATCCGTGAGGAGACCGCATGGATGAAGAAGGATCCTGAGTCCCAGAGGACACAGAGCAGGCAGAGCCGCTGCACAGAAAAGAGCAGCCCTACACCCCGGAGCTGGGCCACTGGAGCTCAGCTGAAGCCCCACAGCCCCTCTCCCTCCAGATACCCACGTGTCTGGCTTGCTTAGGGTGACTGAGTGGGCTCAGCCCCCAGAGCGAAGGAGAGGGCAGATGCCAGGGATGGCCAAGCAGGGGCACAGGTGAAGGGCTGGGGGCCGGCCAGAGCTGCGAGCTGGTCCCCATCCTTCTGTGTCATCCTATGCCACCCTGAGTCATCCTTGCACCTTAACCCTCACCCAGGACGGACCTTTGAGGGCACTGCAGAGACCATGCTGAGCTCACTGGACACTGTGCTGGGGCTGGGGGATGACACCCTGCTGTGGCCTGGTGAGGCGCCCTTCTCCCTTCTCTCCAGCCCCGTACTCCACCTAGCACCAGGGCTCCCCTGGGCCCTCATGACCATAGAGACTAGGCTGATCCAGGTGCTGGCCCAGAGGGGCCTGGCTCCACCTTGAGAGGTAGGACAAGCTCTGGCCTCCCTTCTCCAGAGCACAGTGCTGGCTCTGAGAGCCTCTGCTGCTCATGCCACTGCCACTGCCCCTGCCAGCCAGCCAGGGGGAGCCTCTTTGGGGCCATGCATGACCCTGAGCATCCTGGAAGGATGTCTGATTGTTCACAGCCAAGCCCAGGACAGAAAGTAGTTTTGCAGGAAACCCACTCCACATGCTTCCACTGCCTTGTAGTTTATTTTAAAAAGCAGAGAAGATTTTTGCTATTTTTGTGGTACTGGGGATCGAACCCAGGGCCTTATGAATGCTGGGCAAGTACTGAACCGCTGAGCCACACCCTAATCCCATACCTTGAAGTTTCTAAAACAACTCAGATATCTGAGTTCATCCTGGAACATATATTCATTCATTCCTTATGTGCACTTAACAGCTACCAGGCTGTCTTCTGGGCACTGGGAACACAGCAGTGACATCCATGCACAGATGCCCTACTGTTTCTCCACTTGCCAAATTAGAAGACTGGCTGAGAGGTGCCGCAATTTGACGAAGTCAGGGCCAGCACAGTGGCATCCCGGGTCCAGACCCAGTGGTTCCCCCAGCACCTCTGCCTCCTTGCCTCTGGCTGCCTTACACCGCAGCTAGAGAAGCAACTCCAGCTGGTTGGGTTTTCCTGGAAGCCTGGCCCCCGGCTCCCTGGTTGTGGCATCCCTAGGCCTGGGCTGTGAGGTGGGGAAACTTTCTCTAACCCCCCACTGATCTCTCTCTGCCTCGCCTCGCCACCCTAGGTCATGAGTATGCAGAGGAGAACCTGGGCTTCGCGGGTGTGGTGGAACCCGAGAACCTGGCCCGGGAGAAGAAGATGCAGTGGGTACAGAGGCAGCGGATGGAGCGCAAGAGCACGGTGCGGGCCTGGGGGCCTGGGGACACACAGGCACTCGGCCCAGCCTGAGCCGCCTTGCCCAGCTGGGCCTGGGTTACTTCCGAGGGCTCAATCTGCTTACATCCAAACTCCCGGAGGGAGGGCAGGGCGGGGCCAGGACAGGCTTCTCTGTGTTGGGTCCCTTTTCCAGCTACTGTCCACCCAGCCTGATGCCTCTCCTCTGCAGTGCCCATCCACCCTGGGAGAGGAGCGCACCTACAACCCATTCCTGCGGACCCACTGCCTGGCGCTGCAGGAGGCTCTGGGGCCAGGCCCAGGCCCCACCGGGGATGATGGCTGCTCCCGGGCCCAGCTCTTGGAAGAGCTCCGCCGGCTCAAGGACATGCACAAGAGCAAGTGAAGCCCCCACCCCAGCCCAGCCCAGCCCACCCCCACGGTGGGGAGGCCACCCACCACCCACACGTCACCATCCTCATCACCACCTCCTCCATCGGTGCCCACTTGGCATCATGCACCCACCCTGGTCGGGGGGAAGGGTGGGACCAGGCAGTGAGACCAAGAGGAAGGGATCAAAGGCTTGAAGACCCCCAGAGTGAGGCTGCGTCATCAAAGGTAAAAGGAAAAGATGGGCACCTGGACCTCTCCAGACCCTGCTAACTTTGAGGGTCCCCTCCTCCCTTCTCCGACTTCTGGGACAGGCACGAACATGGAGGCTGCCGTGCTGCCCTCCCAGGAGGCCTCACTCTCACTGTAACCCTGGCACCCAGGGAAGCAGGTGCCGTGCCAGGTTGAGTCCATTTTCCACCTTCCCCATTCACAGTTGGGGCCTCCAGCGTGGTGCCTTGGGAAAGCAGTCACCGGCAGGGGCAGCCAGACGGGTGACCAGGACCCTGCCCATGGCACTTTCAAAGGCACCTGCTCACCCTACACAGCTGGCCTGAGCCACCCCCACCCCCCGCCCTCTGCCCCTGCCCTGGGCCACAAGGGCCTCCTTCCCGGGGGAGAGAGGGCCACGGCTGGCTCGGCCGATGCACTTTCTTCATTTTGGCCCTTGTTCTTAGGAATTTCTGCCTGCCTTCTATCTTTCTTAATTCCCCTTGTTTTATCTTCAACCTCTTTCCTCTTTGAGTTAGCGATTTATTCTTTTAGCCCTGACATTCACCTGGCCTTTGCAGTTTGCCAGGAACACTCATTCCTGTGTGATTTTCCTTGGCATCATTGGCCCCATCCTGGCTGGAAGGAGGAGGCTCTGTGCAGCGGGCCGGACCCTTCCGCTCTGCTCACCCGCGTCCAGCTCTGCTTCTCTGGTCTTGGGTCCAGGCCCCTTTGGGGCCGCAGTGAAGAACCCTCGGTCCTCAGGCAGGCGCCCATGGGTCAGCCAGAGCCTCTCTTCCTGGTCTAAGCCTTCCGAGATGCGCTGTCCTCAGTTTCCCCTGCCCATCTGGCCTCTCCAGCCCCGCTCCTGGAGCCCATTCTAGCAATACCACCAGACTAGTTAGCCTCCCGCCCCCAAGACATGCAGACTCTCGCCTCGGTGCCTTTGCTCCCGCTGCTCCTCAGGCCGGAATGCCTTCCCCGCTCCTCCGCCTGGTCTGCCTGGCAAACGCCCATCCATCTCTCCCAGGCCCCTCCCTAGGAAGGCGCCCCCGCCTCTCCCTTCCAGGCTACCTCTGCACTTTGTAAATGCTTCTCTCTCATGGCACTTATCACATATATTTTACTTGTTTACATGTTTGTCTCCCCTTCTAGACTGTGAATCTTTAAGGGCATGGACTGTATCTTACGCATCTCTCTGTATTTCTGCGCCTAGCACGGTGCCTGGCACATAGTAGGCGCTCAATAAATGTTGAATGAATGAATGAATGAATGATTTAACCACAGCCTGATCACTCAGTGGTCTGTCTTTCCTGCTACAGAAGTACAAACAGCCGAGAACCTTCTCACTGTTTGCCTGACTTGGTTCGAGCTCCCAGAGCTTGGAGTTGTTGCACTTTAAGAGCCTTAGTTAAAAACACCCTAAACACATTCCTTCCGCAGCCCGGTGCATCTGTTCAGGGTTTACAACTTGCTCTCCGCGGTGTTTTCCAAAGCAGAACCGCACAGGTGCCCTGCTGGCTGTGGGGGTAGGAGCGGCTGCGCATGGTCACAGCCCAGCATGAGTGACCCTTCAAGGGCATGGCCTTGGCTCTAGTCCTTCTTTGACCCCCCTGTAAAAAGAAAAAGGCAGATTCCAGGTCCACACCTTAACTGAGCACCTGTCTCTAGCGTGACAGTGTTACTACGTTTTTATTGTATCTATTTTGGGGGTTGATGTTTATGTTTGACAGTACTTTTTAGTTCATGAAAATGAAGGTATAGGGGCTGGGGATTTCGCTCAGCGGCACAGCACCTGCCTGGCAAGCGCAAAGTCGTGAGTTCGATTCCCTGCACCGGAAAAGAAAAACAAACAAACAAACAAAAAATAATGAAGGTATATTGGACTGGGAAAATATGAAGTAAAGACGCCATTTGGCTATGGCAGAACCCCGGGGGCTGGCCTCACGTGGCTGGAGAGCAGGAAGTACTGGTTTAACACCCTACTTCCTTGAGCCAAGCCTGGGGCAGTTAAACCCCTGCCCACAGTTCAGCTTCTCCTGAAAGTTCACCCCAAGCCCAGACCTTGACACTAGCCCTCGGGTTGGGGGACCTGAGTCAGGGCTGCATCTGCCTTGGGGCTGAGGACAGACTGTGGTCCTCACCTTCCAAGGAAGGAGAGCTTTGTGTGCTTTGCACTGTGTCCGGGTCATGCTGTCGTGGGTGGATGAGCCCCGGGACCAATCCCTGGACTGTGCAGGTCCCTCTGGGTATGCTCGCTTCAAGGAGCACTTGGCAGCAGTTCCTTTGGCTGGTGAAGTGCTTTCCGAGGGGCCCCTGACCGTCCGTCCTGAGTCGTGGACGAGCGCCTTCCCCTCCTGGAGTGAGCACTGCCCAGTAACTAGCAGACCATGTGGTTTTGCTTGCAGGACAGCAGGTGTCCCCACCCTTGGAGACCTGGGAGTTAGTCCCAGCCCTGTCACCTAACATCTGGGTGACCTTGAGCGAGTCACTTCCCTGTCCTTTCTTTTTCACTGTCCAATGGAGAGGAAAACAGTGAGTCATAACTCTTATAGGTACAAGTGACAAATACACAACACAAAGTAGCTTAAACCAAAAGGAAAGCCTGTGAACTGGAAAGCCTCCTGACCGCTTGCATGGACCACCGTGAGACTGATGAGCGTCAAGTTATGACATGTGGCTTCAGGCATGGGCAGATCCAGGGTTTCAAAGACTACCTTCATTCATCTCTGCTCTCTTCTGTGTTGGTACCATTCTCTGTCAGGCTTTCTCCCTGCAGTGTCTAGAATGCACTCTAGATAATCCAGCCTTACAGACTGGTTCTTCAAACCTAGCAGAACCTCCAGTAGTTCCAGGAGTGAGTTTCATTGGTCTAGCTTATGCCCAACTCTAAACCAATTATCGGAGTTAAGGGGATGGGCTTCTCTGATTGGCCGGGCTGGATCATATGACCCCACCTGGAAGGGCTGTGCCAATCCTAACTGAACCGCACTGGCTAAAAGTTGAGGCTAGGGGTTACCAAAGGGCCTGATACCAAAAAAGATGCAAGACAGCAAAATCAGAAGCTATTAGGATGGGTGGCTGGGGATTTAGCTCAGCAGCACAGCACCTGCCTGGCAAGCGCAAGGTCATGAGTTCGAGTCCTGGTACCAGAAAAAAGCCAAAAAAAAAGAAAGAAGCTATTAGGAGGGTCAGATGGGAAAAGGCACATGAAGCCATTTTGAAAAATGCTACATCAGATTTCTGATGCTATGATTAATTATAGAGAAAAAACGGAGGCGAACACATGGCCTCAAAGGTATTTGTATATGTGCTCTAAAAATAACCAGCAAGCAGCTGGTCTTTGCATCTTTTCCTTGCCCTGGATCACGGGCTGTTTGTCTATGAGGGTAGCAAAGGAGGAGTGGGGAGGTTAAGTAGGCAGCATTAAGCATTCCAGGGAAGAACAGAGCAGAGCAATAGTAGAAATAAACACGGAAGCCCTGAGCGTGCATGTGTGTGTGAGCACATGTGTTCTGGGGGTGCTCTCAGTCCTCCAAATCCCTGCCCACAGAGGGAGCCTTTCCTTCTGTTTGTTCTGTGGTACTGGGCCTTCACATTGAGCTACACGCACACCCCCCAGCACTTTTTATTTTTTAAGACCACAAAATTGCCCAGATGAGACCCAAACTTACAATCCTCCTGCCTCAGCCTCCCGCAGTACTGGGATTACTGGCATACGCCACCATACCTTGCTCAAATGGAGCTTTTAAAAGCAGGAGGGAACCTGAGTCTGATGGCTCATGGGCCCCAGATTCAGGCGAAAGGCAGGACCAAGTGGTAGAAAGAGAGGACTTTAAGCTGGGCAGGACAAGCTACAGAGACCGGCTCTGCCTCTGAATGGCCACAGGTAACTCTGGACAGTGACTCGGTGTCACTGAGCCTCATTCTAGAGCGATCAGAACAAAAAGAGACAAAAAGAAGAACTAAAGGAGATAGATAGTGCTTTCAGTGAGAGACAGCAGCCTCTCACTCCTCTGACAGTCATTAATAACATGGAGCTAGGCCACTTTGGCAGTAGAACAAAGTGTTTTAAGAACAAAGGCTCATAGCCCAGGCATGGAGGGGCTGGCCTATAATTCCAGCACTCTAGGAGGCTGAGGCAGGAGGATCACAAATTTGAGCCCAACTGGGAAAACAGTGACTTAGACCCTATCTTGGGAGGCTGAGGCAGGAGGATCATTGTGAGTTCAAGACCAGCCTGAACTGCATAAAGAGACTCTGTCTCAAAAAGAAGAAAAAAAGAGGTTCAACGAGGTGGTTAAAAGAACTTTGCTTGGGAAAGTTCTGCTATTACTTCACAGGAATTTGGACTAGGCAGGGACAACAGGTAACCTAGCCCCCTTCTCCCTAATGAGCTAATGGGTCCAAATGAGGAGACAAAAGCCCCTGAGGAAAGCTTTTCTCTGTGGTCTGTGGTAAAATGACATCACTCCCTGCCCCCACTCCCCATACCACGCAACCACTAATGACTTTCTGTCCACAGATTTGCCTAGGGCTGGGGATATAGCTAAGCAGCACGAGCACCTGCCTGGCAAGCACAGGTCCTGAGTTCAATTCCTGGTACCAAAAAGAAGAGATATGTCTATTCTGGACAGTTAATGTAGATCCAAAGTGGCCCCCTAAAATCTTAGGTGTTTAAAGGGAAATGGAGCCAGGCGTGGTGGCACACACCTGTAATCCCAGCACTTTGGAGGCTGAGGCAGGAGGATCGTTGCAAGTTCAAGCCCAGCCTGCGCTACAAAGTGAGTTCAAGGCCAGCCTGAGCTGCATAGTGAAACCCTGTCTCAAAAAAACAAAAAATAATAATAATAATAATTTAAATTTTTTTTTAAATAAAGGGAAATGGGAGCCAGCTGGGGTAGCATATACCCATAATCCCAGCCCTGGGGAGGCTGAGGCAGGAGGATCACTGAAAACCTGAGACCAGCTTGGGTTACATAGTGAGTTCAAGGCCAGCCTGAACTACATAGTGAGACCCTAAAATAAATAAATGTAAAGGTAACGGGGTCACGGGCACTGTGTTCATCACGGACTGAGCCATTGAATAGTCCAGGAGCTGACAGTGCACACGGGAGGTGGAAGTGGTCACTGTGTCCTCGTCCCCAGCCTCGCCCTTCTCTCTGCTTCTTGGCTGCCACGGCTCGAGCACGTCTCCCCCTCGTATCTCCTCTGCCACCCTGTCTCTGCCCTGCAGCCAGCCAACCGCTGACTAAAACCATGAGCCAAAATAAACCTCTCTTCCTTCAAGATGCCTCCTTTAAATCCTTTGTTCCAGGAAGAAGAAAATGGCTAAGACATGGACTTTCTTTTTGCTTTTTTGAGACGGGATATTGCTATGTAGTTCAGGCTGGCCTTGAGCTCACTATGTAGCCCAGGCTGGCTTCAAACTCAGTGTGACCCTCCTGCCTCTGTCTCCCAAGTGCTGGGACCATAGGTGTGTGCCACCACGCTCAGCTGGACATTCCATATAAGTGGAATCATTCAATTTGTGGGCTTTTCTTTTTTTTTTTTTTTAACCCTGTCCAGGGATTGAGTTCAGGGAACACTGAGCTATAACCCTCAGATCTTTTTCTTTTCTTTGTTGCTCTTTTGGTCTCTATATGTAGTCCAGGCTGACCTCTACACATTATGTATTCCAGGTTGGCCTTGAACTTGCAGAGACCCTCCTGCCCGAGCCTCTCATGTGCTGGGATTACAGGTGTGGGCCACGATGCCCCGCCATCCTCTTTGTTTTTTATTTTGAGTCAGGGTCTCACTAGGCTGCCCCAAGCTGGCCTTGAAAATGTGATCCTCCTGCCTCATCCTCCTCAGTAGCTGGGATTACAGATGTGTGCCACTGTGTAGGCTACAATACATGTAGACCTATGTTTTCACTTCTCTTGGGAATATCCCTATGAGTGGAATCGCTTTTTGAGGAACTCCTAAACTGTCTTCTAAAGCAGCTATCACTGCTGGGCGTAGTGGTGTTCACCTATAATCCCAGCACTCAGGAGGCCGAGGCAGTCCCCATACAATATGCCCTTTTTACCAGTAGTCAACCTGTCAGGAAGTATAGCCTACTACAAGATCTCAGAGCTGTCAATGAAGCAGTGATACCTACTCGCCCATTAAGCACAGACACGTATACCGGCCTCTTTTTTTAAAGCAGTGGCAAAGTTTATTCGAGAAAGTAACATTGAAGAGTGGGAGAGAAACTGGCTCTGCAGAGAGCCTGGACGGAGTAAAGAAGAGTGTGAGAG